CATTTCGGAAATCGAAAACGATCGTTCAGGACAATTTATCTTAAGACAGCAGATCGTAGTTCGCAATAACTATAATAACTTCTTAATCAGTCGTTAAGAGCATGAAAAATATTAGGAAAATGAATCTCGTTGATTAGGACCGTTTTTTTTACTCATAAATAATTGAAACGTTTGTTTGGAAATAGAAATTTTTCTCCCCATTGTATAAAATTCATTAAGCTTCGAACATCAAACAGTTAAATTTATAATTTATAATATTGCCATATTTCAAAAATACACATTACTCGAGTGATTTCTAATCTGAGAGTAACGTAAATACATTTGAACTTTAACAAATTAAAAATGTATATTGAAACAACTTTAGTATTTTAATAAAATACATTATGAAATGGTATTTCATTTTTGTACAATAGAATTGATTGAAGCAAATATTTGTATATGGAATGAAAAATAACGTAATATAAAATTTCATCTTATACATTCCTAAAATTCGACAGAATTCGATAAAGCCATTAATGTGTACAGTAATTACGTCCGCGGTGTCGATAAAAATATTAAAATCCTGCGGAAATTGCAACTTCCAAGCTTCAATGTCGCAACCAATACTTTAGCTCCATCCACGCGCACACCCACGCGACCACCCACATTCGTGTGCATGTATGCGTGTATGCGAGCATACGTGTACTTATGATTTTATGCGCGCGCGTGTGCGTGTGTCTGCCCGTGTGTTCGCGCGTTCGTGCGTGTGTCTGTCCGTGTGTACATGCGTACGTATGTATGCATGCATATGTACGTGCGTGGACGCTTGGGTGCGCAACTCCATACATTCGCAAACAGTAGACACCGACACACGCATAAACACACGAATCATGAACGACTCGAAGTTCTCTGGTTTCCCTTTGAGAGTCTTTTCATCGCACGTCTCGCGTGAGCCCTCATTAATCAGTGGAAACCCGTAGATGCAATTATCCGGTAGTAATTAACTTCTCGAACTCTATCTTTGTCGAAGTACCTTACCAGCTCTTCTATAAGTACGAGAGAGAGAGATGAAATTCTTTAAAAAAAATTGCTGTGTGGGTGAAGCTCGATTGTTGGGCGAGGGGTGGGTCCCCCCACCCACCCCTTACTGTTTTATACTGGGTTTACTGTCTTAAACAAATGGAGAAAAAAAAAGAAGGAGAAAATGATTGGAGAAAAGGAAAGAAGATTGAGAAGGTGCGGAAGGAAAAGACGAGAAAGAAAAAAGATGGGAATAGGGCGACAGTAATGTTAGGGAGGGGTGTGATACAGACGGAGCCACATTTTAAACGGACCAATGACAAGCGAAATAGAAAGAATCAAAGGGCTCGGTGAGGGCCGACGATGAATATGAATGTGAACAAGATGTGGAAAGGGTGGCTTAAAAGGGCACGAGACTGACAGATTTGAATTTTAGCAGATTACCATGTATTATATCTAATTAACATTCTCCTGTATTTTTTTTTGCGCCGACTATTGCAATTTGAAATAATTTGTTAATTTTTATCTTTTTTAGTCATTTTTTCTTTTAGTCTTGACAATTATATTTCACGATTAGGCAGGTCATAGTTGGATAAAGATTACATGATATTCATCAAATACTATTCATTCAAAAGACTGATTTTTGTTTCTTTTTGATATTAAATATCGAAAAACATTGAATTTAACGAAAAACATTTGGACAATTAGGCGAAAGTTTTAATGAAATTTTTTACACACAGCAAAAGATTTAATAACATTTTTCTAAATATGTCAAACATAAGTTTCATACTACTTAACCATTGTATCGAATAATAATTGGCTCTCATTTATTTTTTAATAAATTTATAACTTTTCGAATAATTACATTGCAGTTTATACTAACGGCGTTGTACTTTAGAAGTTACGAAATAGATTTGAAAATTTCAGAATAAAATTCACGGACAATACTATAAAATTTTATAAAAATCGTTTACAAATTTATGAACAACTGGCCAACGCATTAACTAAAGTAACTTTCATAATCAGTAATTTTGACTCGTGAATTTCATGTAAAATAAAGAAAGAAAAATAAGTATATAATATTTTTAAAAATTAGAACTCTAATGTGTAAAATTTCAGCTGGGAAATTTTATATAATACATGATTGAAGTGGTAATTGTATCGCACAATGTGTACTATATATGTATAAGTAATAGAGTGATGTAACGTCGTAATCAATCGATTAATTTACATTAATTAAGAATAGTTTGTATGATGCAATAATATACGAAACTCTTAAGATTATCTCTCGTTTAGAAGAATGCAATGTTATTGTGTCGTTTAATCAACGAAACAGTTGGTGCACAATGCGCCAATGTCAAAATATACAAGGTTAGCACAAATATCAGAAGATGAGGAAATAAATAGAATGAGAAAGGCGGCAGAGAAAGAAAAATTAATAAAAATGATGAAAAATGAAGAAAAAGAGAGGAGATAGATTGTAAGTTTCGATCCGATGAAGTCGTTCTTTGGAATTATTCGGGTTAGCCCTGAAACAGTGAATGGCTGGCAGCTTTTGCACCAGAAACTAATTTAACTCTCTATCTCTCTCTCTCTCTCTCTCTCTCTCTCTCTCTCTGTCTTTCTTGCTTCCTTATCATCCCTTCATCCCTCTAAGCCCCTTGCTTTTGGGGTCGAATACAGAACTGTCCGCATCTGTCTCTTTTGCTTTCTCATTCTCTCACTCTGGTGCTTATTCTCGGAGATCGGAGAGCGATCATTGCGACGCGACAAGTGAGAACGCGCAAATACATTACATCTGTGAGGTGAAAACGGATTAAATAGGATTGATGGACTATTTCTGTCGAACGGGTGACAATTTCGAAGTGAACTACTATACTTGTTGTTGAGTGGGGCACACGTAGACATGAATGGCTAACGCGATAAATTGAAATAGTCACGATGTTTATAATGCATCTATTAAGGTGTATTGAAGAAATAGTAGAAAGCATTATAAAGTGATGAAAGTTATAAGTTATTTAATCAATGCTTAAGATGATATGTAGGTTTTTTTTTTTTTTTTTTTTTTTTTTTTGAGAGAGACTCGAACCATTAGTAATATATAATCAAGAAATTTTTATATTAATGTAATAGTAATAATAATAATAATTAATAGGATGATATTAATTTTTCATGAAGAAAAATTAATTATTATGAATCAACAAAAATGAAATAGAGTTTTACAATCATTTATATTGTAATCAAAAAGAAAATTAATAAATAAATCAAGTCGAACAAGCAGATAGAATTGATTTGAAATTTCTTCTTCATCATGGAAATAAAAATTCATCACTCAACTTATATAACTTAGTTTGTTGTTCCATACTCGTTGAAATTAGTTAATATTTCAGAAAAATCTTTTTCAAATTCTGCATAGATTTTCATGAAAATTCAGAAGATCATGTTATCTTTGAGAATCCACGCGTCGTTAAAATTGCCAAGAATCAGCTAGAATATGAAAATACGCAATTAAAGTTGCACTATGTATTGTTACATGTAAATGTAAGTTTACAAAACGACATTATACAGATTTCAAGCGACACTATAGTGTATATATATATATATATATATATATATATATATATATATATTTTAACATTTTGTCCTTGAATTTTTCGAAAAAATTAATCCTTGCTTAGATTATTTGTGTAAAAGTCTCGTTGCTTATATAGAAATGCAATTTAAAGGATATTTAATATTAACGAGTAATAATAACATGAAGAGGAAGGGAATGAAGAAGAAACTTAAGATAATGAGAAGTGGCGGTGGTGCCGGTGGTGTGATGGGGTGGGGGGATGGGGGGGGGGGGGAGGGGGAGGGGGGGATGGAGTTTGTTGTGCCTTGCACACATAAAATGCCGGATTCATCATAAATTACGACTAAGAGTGCATTATACATAAGATATAATTTGCGAGTAAAGGTGCGAGAAAGAGAGTATGTTTAAAATTCAGTTTCGCATAACTCGGTGAAACTTTAAAGTTCCCACGATGCAGACCGACTACTTGAAATTATGCTGAATAAAGTGCATTCTCTCGTATATAAATCGTTGGGCTGCTCCAGCCCTGCCGTTAGCGCCGCCATTTTCTCCACGACGGCTCCCTCCATTCGCGCGAAAGAGATAGAGCGAGGAGCTGATATTGCGCGCGTGCATCCACATGCAGCAGCTGTAAGTTAGAACGAGATACAAGCGGGAGATACAGCACGTCTTCGATTGCTTCTCTTAGTTCTTGGAAAGAGGGACTCTCGTCTCCTCCTTCACTTCTGCGCACACTTTCCTTTCTGGTGCCACTGCCTCCTTCAGTTATAAAACTCGCCGCTCCGTGCCCTGCGCGTCCTTCTTCAGCTCTTCTCCTATTTTTACTCTTTTTCTCTATACCCTCCCCCTCTCGCGGAAAGTGGATCGGAAAGTCGCTTGTACAAAGGTGCTCGAGCGAGAGAGAAAGGTATTGCGTTTTAAAGACATTCTGGAGGGCTATTTTCTCTTTTATTAAAGCACCAAGATGTGTCGAGAGTGACAGAGCTCATTTACATCGATCGCAACCATTACGAGGCTGACTGAAGCCGATTCGTGCCACTACCTCCACTCGATTCTCTCATTGTCTGAAGCTGAAGGCTCTGCCAGATGATTGAGTGGTATCTCCAATTTCTCTGCACCTTGCTTCGGTTATTATTTAAATAAATGGATTATATAAAATTTATTCCGATCGATTTCAGCCTTGCGGTGCTTACCTGCCCGAGCCCCACTACTACGTCCGTAGCGTTTCAAGGTCTTTTTAACTATAACGGACGATTCGATGTTTGTTACAGGGGACTTGAGAAGAGGCGCGAAATAGCGCTGATAAGAAAGAGAAGAAAAAAAAAATATCTGAAATTCTCGCTACGTGCAAGCACTGGGATTGTTAGACGCTGGGTGATGGCTTACATGTAGCCGAGATCGTAGAATGGCTTTTTGTATGACTTACCAGGATCCGAGGAGGGGTGTGATCTCGTGAGTCGACAGAGCTGGAGTGGCAGGTAACGCGTGTCGGCTCGTGGTGGTGACTTTGGTGGGGGAGGCGTCGCGCTGAGGAAACCGCGCTGCAACTCCCATCCGACCTCCTGGATAATCGAAGCCTTACGGAAGTACGGTGTCACCTCGCGCAAGTATTTCACTGCAATAAAAAGGAGTTTTTTCTTTTAATTGGAGTAGCTTGTAGAAACTGGTGCACGATATCATCACACTTGCATGTATTGTACATTTGTATTGTAGCATGATAATTCGTAAAATTGATTTGTCATTTTATGGCGTATATAAAGTAATGCAAGAATGCTGCTACATTCATCATCAACGTTAATCCAGAGATTTAGAATTATAAAATATAATCAATATCTTTAATTCATTCGTTCTTTTATCATCATCATCATCATCATCATCATCATCATCATCATCATTCTTCTTCTTCTTCTTCTTCTTCTTCTTCTTCTTCTTCTTCTATTTAAATTCTTTCAATATGCATTGACGATTTATAATGATATTATTATGTATGGACTTATATTGACATTGAGGTATCGTTTGGAATAGAAAGAGCGCACGGTTGATTAAGCTCGATTAGCAAGCAAAATTCGCCAGATTAACATTGAGCCAATAAATATTTGCATAACTTTTAAGCTACTAAGCAATAACATACATTTCGAATAAAGCACTTTAGCTAATGTGAGCCCCCTATAATTATACTGTATAATATTGAATTAATTATAGGAACGTTAGTAGGGAAATCCTAATTTTCCATTTACATGCTCGGATCAACCAAAAACGTTTATATTACACGATCTATGCAAGAAATTATTGACAAAATAATGACAAAAGGAATGCAACTAGTGATATAGTCTAGTGATTTATCTAAACAGACGATTAGAATTTTGTGAATAAATAAAATGGCAAATAGTAATTGCCAGTTGTACGTAGATACCACGATAGATGAATATAAGATGGTAAAATTTTTATTCGGGAATAAGTTGAGCGCAACTCCAAAAGCTACAAAGTCAAATCAAAACGAGGATAAAATAATATATTGAAGTTGGACGGAGAGAATAGAAGAATGAGAGAAAAGCTCGGAGAGAGAAGAGGTTAGCGCGGCTGTTCAACCGCTATGGATGCAAAGCGCGCAAAGCTAAGAAACGACGCTGGTCATTGGTTCAGCGGGTCGACAGTGAGAAAGAGAGACAGGAAGAGAAAAAGGTAAGAGAGAAAATCTTGCCCGCTATTTCGCATATATTCTCACGATCGCACGCGCTAGCGGTTTTACGCTGCGGGACAGGAATGCAATATTCCGTGTTAAAGCTCGGCACGCGGCAGTCCAGCAAACTTATGGAGGTAGCAAAAAGGAAGCCAAGAAGAGAGAGAGAGAGAGAGAAAGAGAGAAAGAAGAGAAATATTACGAGATACGAATTTAAATTTTTATCGAAGCTTTTTGCAATGTAATTGTATGAACATTTTTTAAGGGCAACAAAAAACAATATTTAATAATATAGCAACTTTAACTCGAAATATATATACGCTGGAATTATTAACTATTGTAGCATTTTTCTTTTTTTTTTTTATTTAATGCTTACGTAAGAAGAATGTAAAATTGTTAATATAACTTTTCCTAATTAATATAATTATTTTCAAAGGCTTTTATTTGAAAATTTTTAATGCCTGAAACATACAGCTACTAGAAATTTAATGTAACTTTACGGGAGTAATAGAATTATTACGTAATTACGTTCATAAATTTGGGGAATATTTTAAATAAAATCACGATTTAAAGTACGGAACTTTATACGGAATACCAAAGAAGGCAGAGCAAGAGTGTGAATAAAAGAATAATAATAAGAATACAAAATAGTGAATAGAAAAAATTAGAGAAAATGTAGGTCAGCGTGTAAAAGAATCGGGAGCCGAACGAAACTTAGATGGATGAGATATACAGAAGAAACGAAAAATTAGCTAAACAAGCTCCGAGACATCCATTTATTGAAAATATCTTTAAAAAAAAAAAAAAAAAAAAAACCATAAATATAGATTGAAAATAGATCAAGGAATAATAGATGAATAGTATGTGATAATTATAATCATATACATGAAAACAAAAACATATATATTTGATGAAAGAAATGCATTACTGTAAACCTAGATTCCTCTAGGCTTACAGATGATACTTTCAGGACTAAGAGATAATCAGATAGATAAGACTTCGTATTGGCAGACTTTACGATATTCAAGTTAATTTAATAATCCAATAATAAATGTCTCGCTGCTGAATATTAATTAACAGTTATAATGGAATATACTAAATATTCAAATTATTCTCTAACGGATAATCGGATTTTTTTATTAAAAATACATATTTAAAAATACACTGTTTTTGCAGAATAATATCATTAAGTAATTAATATAAAAATAAAATATTAATTATCTTACGTGGAATCTAGATTATAAATCGATCTTTTATTTATTACAGAAGTTAACAATTAATTCAAAAATAACAAAAATAAGTTCGAAATGAAAGGTTCATAGTAATAAATGGTAATAATCGATAATATTACGACGTTTGCTGCTAACAACTTAAGTTTCGCACCGACAGATGCTTTACGAGATAATTACTTAAAGTTTCATCTATTTTCAAGATTTCATTAGTGATTCGCAATAATTGTTGTTTTGTTCCACAATCATGAGCACCTACAGATATTATTAATCGTCGATTTGATGAAAAAATTTCACTCTTCAGATTAAATCTTGATCTTCGACAAAAATAACTCAACACCAGATACGAAATAGAATGATTGCTCAATCAGTTCAAACGGCAGATATATTGAATCCGAATGACGCCAATAGTTGAAATGCAAAAGTTTTTTATTATATATTCTTCAATCATTACTGATTAAGAAAATATTGTAACTACCTTGTAAATAGCAGCAATGTTACGGTAAATATGGCAGGTCGATTGTACTTAATCAAAACTTGGTTCAACATATAATCTATGTTTTAAGGTAGCGAAGCGTGAAGCAAAGTCTTTGCTAATAGCATCTAATTAATCTTGATTGTATTTCACTTGATTGTCAGTAAAAATAGGAAATTTTCAGCGCAGCATGAATTTGATTTTCCCCATTTTTTGTTGCTCTATTCTTTCTTTAAAGTACTCGGATCGAGTGATGTAGTAACTACGTTCAGTAACTAAGCGACGGGTAAATGCCTGACATGTTTCAGAAACGTATTTCAATGTATATGTGATTGTAAAACTCGTGAAGTTCGGATGAGTAACGTAAAACGACAAATGTAAATAGAAAAATATTATTTCGCGTGAAATATTGGCAAGAAATCTCATGCTGCATATAAGTTTAAAAATGTATACTAAGTTTCTAACGAAATACCAATTGCAACCTGATATTGACTAGAAGAAAAATGAAGCAATAATGCCTAAAAACAGACAAACAGAAATATCGATCAGGACGCTCATAGGGAACTTAATTAATGGAAAAAAAAAAATGTAATTTCCTATCAAACACAACAGGCGGAAAGAAAAATGATAGTTGTGTATTCTATAATTAGGAAAAGTGTAAAAAATATTATGTTTTCCGCATACGTCATTATAAATATTCTAAATATTATTCGAATAGACATTAGTCAATGAATATAAAATTGTAGCAAGTAAAAAATATAAAGTAAAAAGTATTAAATTGTCCATATATAAAATTATTAGGTGAATATGATAAATCAAGTATTGAATGATCGAGCCTCTTATTACGAACTGCACATAAAAACTTAAGTTTTCGCTACTTAAAATCAGTAGAAATTAAGCTTTAATTAACAAGTAAAAATTAACAATCAATTTTTATGATTAGTTGAAAGAAATACATGAATGAAAAATTTCAATTTTATTCATTCATAATTCGTACCCTACTTTTATTAATTGATAAGAAACAGTATTTAAGCAATTTTTTAAGTGTACCTGTGCTTGGACTTTCATCGTCACATCCAAATTTCATACTAATTTTTATTATTATTGTCAAAATTCTTAAAGAACTTTACGGTTACGAATGTATATATATATATATATATATATATATTTGATTCGAATAATCGCTTAAAGCTTTTTATCGAGAATGGATCTCAGGTTTAGACTATCAGTAATATTCCATTACCTACCTGAATTTCTCATTAGATATACGTAACATAAATCAGTGCTTTATCTTAGTAAGGATGACACCTGTCTAATATAACTAACATATTAGTCGTGTTAACCTTGTTTTCCTATGCATGTTCTAATACTTTCTAAAAGAATTCATATTTTTTTTTTTTTTTTATGTGACATTACTGATAAATCATTCGTTACCTAATGTTATTAATATCTGTGCTTAATATAGCATATCTAAATAATGTATTATTAAATAGAATTTTTATTACTAACAGGAATTAAGACGTGTTTCTTACCCCTATAAGATAAATCAATTTTTTTTTTTATCGAACTAGATTTCAAGATTATTATTATTACTCAGTATGTATTGAATAACAGGTTATTAAATTCTAACTAATAAACAATATTATTTACAGTTTTAAGGGTTTTCGTATTTATTATTATTATTATTATTTTTTCTTTTCAACCATATTTATTTGCAATATAGAAGAAGAAATTATTATATTATGTACTAAGAAATTAGAAGAAAAGAAATAAATGTGTTTTCGATTATTTATGAATCAGATACACATGGCTTATGAAACACAAGAATAATAAACGAATCAAATTGCACATATGATGAAGAATATTATATAAGTCCGTATGTATAATTAGTTCGATAACTGTTACGTTTCTCTCTACTTCCGCGAATGTACTTTTCACGTTTTTATTTCAATACTGTACAGTAATATCCATCTAATCTCAAATAATCTTTATTTTTTCAAGTATATACATATTCTATTTTTGCACTTAATTTTATACCTTTTGTTTTGGTTACCGATCCAACTTGCTCTTCCAGTTGTTTTTAGTTTTTTTTTTTACTATTATATTTCGATTATATTACAGAATTAGTTAAAAAACATAAAAATCGAATATTTTAACGAAATATTCCTTTTTATTTATATTGGACATATATAATATATACATGTAAATTTATGATATTAATAATTATGAATTGAATATTTGTGTAATATGATAAATATGCAGGTATGCCATGCTAATTATTTATAACATTAAATAATCTTATAAATAATAATAAGAGTAAAGATGATAATAATTAATAAATAATATATTTCTAATAAT